TAGTAGCGGTGGTGGTGGTGGTGGTAGTAGTTGTAGTAGTCGTCGTCGTACTAGTAGTAGGAGGTGGTAGTGGTAGTGGTCGCAGTTGTAGTACAGGAGCCGGACCAGGAGCAGCAGCTGTGTGGGAGGTTGACGTGGAGCAGGACTGGGAGCAGTAGTAGTAGTAGCAGCAGCGGCAGCAGCACCATTAATAGCATTGGCAGCAACAGCTCTAGCAATATGATCCCGTTGGCAACGGCAGAACTTCGCCATCTTGACGGCGGCCAGACCAAGCGGCTGAGCAAGGCATGTGTCGTTGCCCCAGAAAGGAGGCAAGCGATTCCTGCGTGGTCTTCTGGCATACCAGGATGCAGTTGTCAAAGGGTCAGTGTTTTTCGGGTTGTTGTGGCTAGATGCAGGGTGTGTGAAAACCTGAAAAGCCTTGGAGTCTTCATCCGAGACAAGTCTGACTTGCCAATCAGCAACATGTTGAGGCAAGAGGTTCCTCTAGTCTCAAAGGCGTGGCGGAAAGTTCGGTGGTTCGTTCAGTGCGCTCCTCCAGCGGTGCAAGGAACTCTTTGTCGAACCAGGACAAAGCCTTTTGCTGGTCCTGATCAGCTCGCGTTGCACAGCCTAGAATTGCACTCTCTTCCTAGTGATACAACTTGAGAGAAGTCAGTCCCGGGAAGTGATGCCAGTCTCGTTGGCCGTCACCAAAGCCTGACATTGCCGCGCAGTTGTGCTGCAGTATCTGCTTGCTTGCTTCGTGACGACTGCAGCTATGATCGTATCGATAGGGTGAAGACTGCCTGCGACGGCATGCGATTCGTAGCAACAAAAAAACGGTGCGCGCGGCCCCTGGCACAAATAGAAGTCAATCCCTTGAAAGGCATAGGCTACGACGGACTTTAACACGCAAGCACAACCCCAAGAATGCAAGCAACGCAGCGAACACACCTTTGAACAAAAGAAGAATACGGTGACGGCAACTATTTCCCATATAACCGAACAATGACAAATCAGTGGAAAAACGCGCCGTGGAGCGACACTATTCGTCGTTAAACCGACAGAATCGTCGTCATTGCATTGACAATTTCAGAACAAGCAAAGGCGACAGGACAGAAAAGAAGAAACGACTAATGTTTCAAAACCAAACAATTTCGGGACGCAGCAACTCTCAGTCTGCCCTGCCGAGTGCTGGGAGGGCGGATCTGACGAGGAACTGTGGCTGAAGCCAACTGACATCCAACTTGCTTGCATCAGAGCTTTCAGTACCAAAATTTGTGATCTACTGGGTTGCCGTACTCAGAATCATGTACATGCTGATTGCGGTGGGCAACTAAAACAACTCACACCAGCTTGCCGACCCGAACAATGCTTCACTGTGCAAGATCGAGGAAGAGAAGATCACAAACCAGGCTCAAGACCAAGTGGGCTGTCCGATTTCCTGGTTAGCTTCAACCCAAACCCTAAATTACACCGGATCATCTTTACCCACATTACCTCCAGGTGCGACTGCCAATTGCGCTTTGCCTGGACATGGGGGTTGTTCTCAATTCCGGCTTTGGCTTGTGAACGCTTTTCGTTATGTAACGAGTGTACTACCTCAACAGTGCAGAAGTTTTCCTGCGAAGATACTAGGGAGGCATTTGCATTGTGTAACGGTTTCCAGACGTTGGTGCACTGTGACTGGACATGAGCGGGCTAATATAGGGGGCCTTAATAAATAGAATAAGGCTTTGGGGCCCATTATACTAAAACAATAATAACAAGGAGCCCCCAAAGACTGGTATAGGTAATCATTTAGGTCCCTACATTATGGCTTTTTGATTTGGGAGGCTTCGCAGTTGCTGCCGCTTTAGGGTTCGGACACTTTGAGAACTCAGAATATGGTTGAAATGTCTAAACCTCAAACCTGAAGCTGTTGAGCCCTACGTACAACAAGAGCCAAGCTACTCCATACCTAAACCTGCAACCTAACGAAGCAGCTGAGTTGCTTGAGCGGCTTCCTTGCCCATGTCGGACTTCACTGCCTCAACCTGGGATACGGCAAGCCACATGTGGTATGTTATGTGTTTCACAGTTTATACATGACATGTTACAGATATGCTCACCATGTTATAATTTGTATATTGTATCCTGTGAGAGCGGAGACGAGGGCTGAGGATTTTAGGCGCCCAGATGTGGGATTTAGGTTCCCCAATACCATAAACCTTCATCGCAGCTTTGGGGCCCTTCGAGGGTTTGAGGGTGGGTTTAGGGCTTAGGGTTTTGGGGTTTAGGGTTTACGGCCCACTACCCTGAGCACATGCACTTAGGCGTTGACGTCTATGAGGATGTCGAGTTTCCATGGCTATAAATTACATGGTGGTTATTGCTCGACTTTGCTGTCTCGGGCATCGGGAGTGCCAGTAATGCTGCCAGTCTCAACGTTTCGAGTTTACTTTTGCCATTCTCACCCTCCGCCACCGATGCATTGGACACTTTGGGTGGGCCCGCTATGAACTCCATGTCTGACACAGTAAAGGCAGCGCATGCTCCTGTCTGGTTCAGACTGATTCCTGCGTTAGTATAGTATTTCGGCTAAAAGGATTTCAGATGAGGGCTTAGGGTTACAGCTTGTAGGTGGCAGAATCAAGCCTTCCGGGCTTACAACTGCATGAGGATGACGACTTTCTGCAATGAACGTCCAAATCAACGACAGGTTGAGGCGTGCTGAGCTCTACTTGCGCCACGCAGAAAGCACGGCAATGGATACCCTAAACCCGCAACCCCAAACCCTAAGCAAGTTTCTCCGATTGTCATCGTCAGAAGTGGGAGCCCCGAAAGAAAATCTGACTCGCTGGCCCTACCTTGAACCAGCATAGCCCTTTTCGAACTAATTCCCTGCAACTTGTGTATAACAGCCAGTGTTTGTTTGCCTCTGGTCTGCCCGTGAAATTGTGCATCTTCGCAACGATGGTTCTGGTGGAGTCCCCCCGGGCGCAATGCCGCTGCGTGCTGGCCACCGCCGCCTCGGCGACGCTGAACCTGACTTTCTCAGTTTCAGGCCTTGAAACAAGGGGTTTACCTTTGAGCATCTTGCGTAGCCCAGCTATAAAATACTGTTGGACTACTCTGAACCATACAATCATTAGAATCATCAAAAAGTAAAGACTTGTAGGTTCGGCATTGGAGAACCAAGGAACATCAGCACGTCGCCCTTGGCACGAAGGCGCCCCTGCTTCCAGGTCCGCAGGCCTTGGCCACAAGAGCTGAAACAGGGTAGCTCCCTAAATTGAGGCCCCTTATAGGTCCCAAATATAGTACGGCACCCAAAAAAAAACGGACCCCCACTTTCGAGAAATACCCAAGAGCAAAAAAGCTCGTAATCTTGAGTCCCAACTCACAAATCTTACGCCCGAAGCGCCCGATGCAAACCCAAAGACCCTAAACGCAGTTTAGGGTTTTAGGGCTTTAGGGGTTTAGGGTTAAGGATTTTAGGGTTTAGCACAACCCTATCCCCAATTCTCTCGAGCCATAAATGAATCCCAGTCTCCCTCCATCTGGCTCAAGGCATGCGTTCCTGGGCTGTTCAGTTCACAGGCAACAAGTTCAGGCCATAAGAAGTTGATACGGTGGTTGCATTGTACCGGGGTTGCTTGAATTTAGAGGCGTCCCCAAACTGAAGGATCCCCTAAATTTGGGGGCCCCTCCGTTCTCAGAAACTCTCTTTTGGACTTATTTTGGACTTTCGGCTACCTTGCGAGTGCAATTAGCATTTGGAGTTAACCTCTGTCTGCCATAAACCCTCAAATTCTGAACCCTAGGCGATACTTTTTGGACTGGAGGACTAGGAACCCTAAACCAGAGAACCGCCTAAATTTTCAAACCCATGAACCCCCAAACCACGCCTCCGCCCGAATCCCTGAAGGAATGGCTTTAAGGGGAGATCCGCCACAACTCACTTCTCCCATAACTCAAGGGTTTAGGGTTTAGGGTTTAGGGTTTGGGGTTTAGGGTTTAGGGTTTAGGAAAAATGGAAAACACAAATACCTGCCAGAGTGGCAACATCACACAGACACACAACGATTCGAAGGGTTGTCAAGTTGGAGAACTGAGACAACCCAGTAGAACCTGAAAGCACCATTGTAGAACTCGTCTAAAATACTTATAGATCCTCACAGTGCTAATTCCTTATAGACGTATAGGAACCATCTAAAACCCTTATACGACCCATCTGCAGCCCTTGCAGGACCCGTGCAAAATCCAAACCCTCCTAGAACCCTTGCTGTACAGAGCCCACACAAAGCAAAACTTTATAAACAAAGGTGGGTATTGGATGAAGAGGGCCCGAAGCCCTACGACCTAAAATCTAATCCAACCCTAGGCCCTAAATCCTAAACCTGATCATACCCACATCCTGAACCCCAGCCAGTCTACCCCTAAACCCCTAACCCTAAACCCTACACACATCAATCCCCAAGCATCATCCCTTATTTTTCTGATTATGTTAATTATTTTCTATACTGGTTTAGTCTATTATATTGTAGTTCACTATACTACGTACTTCTATGTTCTATTCTACGATGCTACAGTCTATCCCTAAACCTAAACCCTGAACCCAAAATCCCTAAACCCTAAACCCTAAATCCCTAAATCCTAAACCCTAAATCCCTGAACCCTGAGCTCCTAAACCCTAAATCCCTAAACCCCTTAAGCATGGCTTCCCAGATCTGAGAGGAACTCGGAGAGGTCGTTTGCAGAGCGGGCGCAGAAGCTCGGGCAGGGATCCGCGCCGCTTTGGGCATCCTGGGGCAGCTCCGGAGTTTCTCTTAGGGTTTAGGGTTTGGGGTTTCGGGATTAGGGTTTAGGGGTTTAGGTTCTAGGGATTAGGGTTTAGGGATTAGGGTTTGGGGTTTAGGGATTAGGGTTAAGTCTAGGCGTTTCCACAGGATTATGAGGGTTCTAATTATAAGTGGCATATTCAGGGTTAAGTCTGCTAGAGTAGAAGAAGCCTTAATTACACTAAACCCTAAACTGTATGGGTTCGATGGGTGATTTGTTTGTGTCAGGGCTTCAGAGCTGTCAGAGCTTCAGGACTGGAAAGGCCTCAGGTTTACAGATAGGCAGGGAGGTTTCAGGAATATGCTGGCGTCTCCAACTAACCACTGCTGTACCCTGTTGTACCAAAACTGCACAAAATGTGAAGCTCGTATGCAGCTAGACCCTAAACCCTAAACCCACTAGAACAAGCCTGAAACTCTTGCGAGTCTACCCTAAGCCCGCAACCATAAGCCTAGCACGCACGAGTCTCAGAGACCAAAGCCCTGAACACTAAACTCACTAAACCCAGGATTTAGGGTTTAGGGCTTAGCCAGGACTCGAACCCTAAACAAGGACCAAGAAAATGCGAGGGGAAGGACCACGCCGCATCGAGACGGGGGAAGAAGTGAAAAGGATTTATTGGAGCGGTGCAAGCACTCTGAATCCAACAGTTGCGCGCATGTGCTGATGCTGTGATTGATTTTTGCTGAGCCCACGCCTTATGCCAATGCTTCTCCAGCGAAGGTTGTGCGTGCTCGGCGACAGGCGACGCGACATGCATCCGAACGCACATGAAGAGATGTCATCTCGGGCCAGGAGTTTGCTTACACAATCCGGATGCAGTTGGCCAAAGTGGTTCCTACGTCCTTTAATTTATGCCCTCTACCCTAAAGCCAACATTCCCTGAACCCTTTCCCCTGAATCCCAACCCTAAAGTCCTTGAAACCCAACCCTAAAGTCCCCAAGACCCTAGGCCCTAAGTCCATAAAGTGCAGCATGAGTGTCGAGGTAGGCGTCCTTGGCTTTCTGCTCCATGCTCCGAGATGCCCCCTCTAGCTGGCGTTGAATTTCTTCGTGCAGCGACTGAAGAACCTCAGCCATTGAGGGTTCGTGTCGACTTAACCCTAAACCTTAAACCCCAAACCCTAAAACCTTAAACCTTAAACCCTAACCTCGAAGGTTCGTGTCGACATTCCTTTCTAAGGCTTCCGGGCTTGGGGATTCCCTTTAAAAGAGGCTCATACCCTCTTTCAGGATTGAGGGTCGCAGGCTTTGGCCGGTTCTAAAGTCGGGCTGTAGAAGGGTTTCTTTAATGGGTTTTGTCGGGCTCATGGCGTTTAGGGTTTAGAGGGGTCTAGTACGCCTCAGACATGAAAAATAAACTTCCAGCTTTCAGCTAGGGCATGGAGTTGCTTCCCAGAATCGCCCATAATGGAGACACATGATCAATGAGCCCCATAGTCCCTATTACGGGAGGGGTGGGTGTGTGTGTGTGTGTGTGAATCAGGGTCTTTGTATTACTCTGTAACCTGAACCCTACACCCTCAGTACCCAAGCGTTTTATTAGTCTTGAAGCACATTGAACCCCTAAACCCCACCCTTGAACCCTTAGGCGCTATGAGCAACCTTGAGCCCTTAAACCCTACAAGACCCCTTAAACACTGATACTGGTGAGGGCTGTTCCAGCCTTCGGCCCTCTCTGGAAATCCTTGACGCACTGAATGCTAAGGGACCTGGTGAGCCCGATCTGGAACAGTCGTGCATAGGACGTCACACTGGCTACCATGCAGAAGCCTTCTTGATTACAATATAGGGGGGCTGGGTGTATTTGGGCAATTGTGTGGGGGCTTTAACCGGATGCTACTAGTAATTCTATCTCAAGAACTTCTGTGGTTCTACAGCCGCCAAAGACAGCATTGCAAATAACAAGCCCCACACGCTGAACCCTAATTGTCCTTATGTCCCACACGCTAAAAACTAATCTTTAAAGCCAAAGCTGTAGTATACCAAGACCAAAGCCTCGGCAAACAAACTGCAGCAGTGGGGCCACATCATCATGTGGCAACAGATCAAAGCTCTGGAACTCCGCATTGATGTTGCTCAGATTTCCTGGGCTCTTCTTCGGGAGCTGACTTAAGTTTGGGGTTTCAGCTGCCGCACACGGGACATTACACAGTAGTTTGCATGCTGTCCTTGCCAGTACCATGGTAACTTGCACGAAGCTCCTTATGTAACACGAACCAAGTATCCGGCGGCATGGCACTTCTTCCGGATGAGCATCTGGACATTCTGGGAGAGCGCTGACATCAGCGATACAGGGCGCCTGGACTCCAAGTGGCTGTGAGTGCCCTCCAGTGCTTTCCTCACAGTCGCCTGGGCTCTAGTTAAAGGCTGTAGTTTAGGTTACCATATAAGGAAACCATACCACAATAAGGAAACCATATCATGTAGATCCCTATTATTACTATGATAGCTGAAATTAAGTAAGTTCCCTAACAAGAACCCAGTCGCCCTTGCCACGCTTTCTACTCCGGCCACCACAGGTGCGGTGTCCGCAGAGACAGGAGACAGCGTCACTGAGGAGAGGCTGTCCGAAACCCTGGCAATGAAGTCCTTCAAGCTGGTGGACATACCTGGTTAGGGTTTAGGGTTTGAGGTTTAGGGTTCGGGGGTTTCGGGTTTAGGGTACCTCTTCACTTCTTGAAGGACGGCTGAAACAACCTTCTTCATTCGCTGCTTCTTGCGACGATGTTTAGGACTATTTATAATAGGGTTAGGGGTATACCCTAAACCCTAAACCGGTTCCAGAACTGAAAATCGGCCGAGGCACGGGCAAAAATCACCTTTTCAGCCAGGGAGGTCTTGGCCTCGGCAAGGATCCCAGCCATCCCAGTTTGCCAGTCGCCCGTCCTCCCAGGCATTTCAGGACTAATCCAAGGGCCTTCGTCATCATTATAGTACTATATTAGACTAAATTATACGGATATCATGACTAGATATTCCTACCCTGTATTGGAACACAGTGTCACAGTACAACTCTTTTTGACGAAAGCTTGACTTGCGGAATATCCGATAACACGCTTTTCTTGAGTACGGGTCGGCGGGAGTGTTTCGGCTTTCGGGGTTCTAATAAACCCTAAACATCCCTAAACCCTAAACCCCAAACCCTAAATCCCAAAAAAGGTTTTGAGGATGAGGAGATGGAGGAATGACGCAAGAGAAACCTCAAAGGCCGCAGAGCTCCATCGCCCAACGCTTCCATCGGATTTAGGGTCTTAAGGGGTTTAGGATTTAGGGTTTTAGGGTTTATGATAGGGTTTAGGGTTAAGGGTTTATGATAGGGTTTAGGGTTTAGGGTTTTAGGGTTTATGATGGGGTTTAGGGTTTAAGGTATCAGGCTTTAGGATGACTGAACAACACCTCCTGAGCACAGCACATTTCATGGCAGTATACACCAACGCAGCAGCAGCAACAGCAGCGGTCATCGAAGTCAAAATAGCGATCGGTTGCAAGACAGGGAGTCAAAGTAGGGGCAGGGGGAGTGGAACAGGTGCGTGCTGGGCGTAGTGTGGTCAAACCCGCAGGACAAGCCGTCGTTGTTGTAGAAAAAACAGAAGTGCTGCGTGTTCTGCCGTCCTCAATTGCATCAGGGCCGTCCCAGATGATTTCTTCATGTGCGCCTTGATGGTTGCGGCAGCTTCATCAGCAGCAGCCGCGACTGCTTCTATCGCATGAACTGCCGATGAATCCAAGTGCTTCTGGACCTGCGACACTGGCGATTATGCTCCAGCGACTTGTGTCCCTAAGCCCTAAACCTTAAACCGCTGCAACCCTACAGAAACCCTCCTTCCACATTGGAGACAGGCAAAAAGAACCGTTTAACCCCCAAGCTTCCACTGTGTCAGCCCGATCCTCAAACTAGCAGGTCCCTCCACCGTGCCTCTCTGATGGCGCTTTGTGCTTCTTTTTTCGCAAGCGGCGTTCCCATCGAACTCACCTTGAGCTTCTCTTCCACCTTCACCGCGGCGAATGAGAGAGTGCTGGATGTAAGCTTCCCAAGCTCCGTCGCGAGAATGGCCCGAGGCGCAGTCATGAACTTCTCTATGAGCTCGTCTTTCTCGGCATCAAGGTCGTCTGAGATCCGCTGCACGATCTTCGCCACGGAACGCCTACTCAGGAGCACGAGCTTCCTCTGCGCCTCGTGCTGAAGTCGCTCAGCCACGTCAGCCTTCTCCTCGGCACTCATGCTGAGGGCCACAGCTCCTCGGCTGGATCACAGGTGGTATACTGTTGATGATATACATCCTGCATTACCTTAAGGACCCTAGACTATGGGAACTATGGTATATTCCTTGTTATGGGTAATGCAGGATTTATACCATCAACTGTCGTATACACACACGAACACAAACACGCAAACAATCAAATGCACACACAGAGACACAAACCCCATGGTGTACATAGTTATAGAAAAGCGCGACAACATGTACATGTATATGTTGTGCATACATATATATATATTTATAAATAAATAATATATATATATGTATATATATATATGTATATATATATATATGTATGTATATATATATGCACGCACATGCGCACGCCCGGCGCCTGCACCTGCTCCCGCGCCCGCGCACAATCCCACGCACA